AAGGGGCATCGTGGCGCTGATGAACGCTGCAATTATTGGCGGAATTTTCCTAGAATAGTTTACGTTCACCGCTGAATTCTCGCCTAACACCATGAAAAACTTCAGCTCGATCCTGCTGGCCGTCGCCGTGCTGAGGACCGCCCGCGGAGAGGAGAGTAAGGATCCAAATCTAAACGCAGGTGGGTTGAAAGGAGGCACAACACACACATAATTTTACTTCAGGTTATCGGAAATAAATTTCTATGAGACCTGACGGCGGTGTGATCGTTTTGTTTGCGTGCAGAGTCTGCCGACTGCCTTGCCGACTTCAATGCCGCTCGAGAAAAAGCAGGCCTCGAACCTTTCGCTGCAGAAACGACAGACACAAACAAAATGCCAATCACCAATTCTGCGTACATCAAGGCGATATGTGACACCATAAAGGTGGAAAGTTGGCCTTATTTCACATGCCACTGCCTTGCACTGTGTCTCCATCGCTGTTGTGCTCTGCTTCTCCGTATGCGGGCTTATTTTTGGCATATGTCCTGAGTAAAACAGATTTTAATTTAGTTGTTCGTATTGTGACGTGCTCAGGGGACAAATGTGAGCAAACAAGCGGCAGATTACGTGCGCACCGGAACCTACGCGTACGCGCCTCAGATCGGTCCTGCAGATGGCTGCTCTGCAGCCGTCTCCTACTGGAAAAAGGCCTACGTGAACTTTGGGGAACTTCCACCCGAATACACAGAGGACGACACAGGAGTATATGCTGAAAGCCGTAACCGCTCACTCGTGGCCCTTTACAACCCCAAGGGAGGCGCCACTGTCGATTGCGCCTACATCACTTGTCCAGCCTCCACCGCAACCAGCACAAGCACCCCTAGCACTACCACCCCTAGCACTACCACCCCTAGCACTACAAAGCCAAACCCTGAGGAGACCACTCCCGAGCAAACCGGACCGATTACCCCTCAACCGGAATCAGCAGCGTACCTGCACCCAGCGAGCGTGGGAGGCCGGGACAGCGAGTCGCCAGCCAAGGCATTCACCCCACCTGTTTCTGATGAGGAAGAGATAAAAGTCGCGAAGGAAGATGGACAGCCCGTTCGACGCCTCTCTGCAACATCGGAGACGGTCACCAGCCTGGTTTGCCTCACCAATCCGGCTGCCCTTGTAAACCAACAAAAGCCCTTCTCGTACGTTGTGTGGACGATGCCCCTTCGCTTTGGTATTGGCTGTATATCATACTCTCGTTGTGTAGCTCTTCCTTGGCTTACGATTTTTGGAAGCATGCCACTGTATCTTCTGTTTGCACGTACCGTGCCTGCTTCAGTTGTTCGCGAGTTTGATTGAGGGTGTTTTCTTGTGGAACGTCTCATATACTACTCGGATACTGTGGTTCCACCTGTGTTGCGCTTTTGTGTTTGCGATGTTCGCTCATCACAGACACAAAAACAAAGCACAGGTGG